ACAAAGAAAGTTATAAGGCACTAGAACTCTAAGAAACTAATTACTCTGCTTTTACATAAGGGAAAGTATGCCGGTACAATTATGTGATCTTTACATATGTAAACCTTACATTAATTTTGATGATTTTGCCTTCACAAAAAAACACAGAATTATCATATGCAATTTTTATTAATAAAAGAGGATCTCATAATAACTGTTAAAACCACTAGAGCCCTTGCACTCCCATACCTGAGAATTTTCCATTTTCAAGACCTCATTTTGTGAAATACTCTCAAATTTTGAATATATCACATTTAAGAGAACCCATTTTATTTTCAGTTGTTTGGGTGGATGGCATTAAAGAAAATGCAGTTGTACCACAGGAATTTTCTGCCACTCAACTGCCAATGTAGTTATGCATGAAGAATTCTTATTAAGTCAAAAGAGAACAGAATACATTTGAAAGAAGAACTGACCCCTTGATTCAGTTTTACAAATGCAAAAAATTTAAGATTCAGGTCACCATGGACCTTTGCACCTACTCAAAAGGAGACTTTATTAGTAATCATTAAAATGCTCCACATTTTTAAGTTTGCAATATCATGGCCTCATTATAAATTAGGTATTTAGGGAAAACTTCATTTCCTTCCAAGGAAAATGTTAAAAATGTACAATTCCTCTGTCATGCATTTTTTAAATACTAAGGAAAAAAATGGAACTGTTTTTGCAACCTAGGCTCAGGGACAGCCTATACAACTGATAATAGGAGTTTTATGCCTGGTGGAAAATTATTCAAAAGATTTTTTTTTAACTGAAAAATGATGTCATCACTGTGAATTCCACCTTGGGACACAAAGGCAGGAATTACATTGTGTTGTTAAAATGTTAGCAGCTGCATTTCATTTTTTGAAAAGGCAATTAAGTTTTCCTGAAATAAAGAGTTGATTATATCTCTTATTACTGCTACAAGAATTCGATATATCACAAAATGTAAGAGTTACAGCATGTGCCAACTATCAACCAGGAAAAATGGATCTGATTCATAATTCACTTTGAGAATGTCTAGTTAGTCAATCAAGTGATTTGTAATCATGAAGGCTGCCAGAAAGGGAATGAATAATGAGCCACAGTAAAATCCCTGGATTTTTTAGTATTCTTATTTCATAATGTGACTTTTATTGCCATTTTTGATCGCTGTTTCTCAGCAACACAAATTAAATCACACGTACTTACAAGTTTTTGACTATTAAATAGGCTAAAGGATACACAAGTTGAATGACTAGAGTATTTAATATCTTCCTACAAAATTAAAAGTTTTAGTGTTTATAGCTTGAGCAAACAAAATTTCATTCTTTCCAACCACCTCAATGCTCACCCCTATTTATTTATTTAGTGAATATGCTATTTATTTATTTAGTGAATAAGAGCTCATTCTAATTCAGATTTTCTTGTTTCTATATACCCTAAAACAAGTAATTATTTAACAGAATCTAGTTAATATCAGAAGCCTTAAGCTTCCTTTTAATATCTGCATTGTATAGCATTTCCTCCCTTAAAACTACATATAGTTGATGTCCGAAGAACACTTACTTGACCTCTAACTAATATGATCTTACTAAATTATAGAGAGACAAAATATAAACCAACTTAAAGCTTGGTATATTATTAAAGAGGTAATATGATAAATTAGTGTTTTTCAAAATGTAAAACTACTAAGCTGTATATAAATTTGTCATTCAATTAAAAAATACACTTAAAAAGAACAATTTGTAATTCTGAGAATATAGGCCATTATAAGCATTTTAATCAGGATTGCATGACATAGAAATTACAAAGTTCCAAAGCAAATGGAACTTTAAATGTAGTAACAAATAGGCTCATTTTCTGACTTACTTTTCATAATTTTCAAGCAGAAGGGTTCTTTCCACCTTTAGATTGATTATAACACCAGAGCACATGTGGATCTCCTTAAGGAAAGTAATAGAGTTCTTAAGATCTATGGTACTCGTTGCTGAAATTTAATATTTATGAAAAAATTCAACTACTAAATTTTGAGGGTAAATTTATATTAATAAATATTTGGTTGTGCAAGATAACAAAATTTCAGACATACATATACTATATTGACTCCAAGAAGCTAGTATAATTACAGTGAGACCCTCAGGAAAGATACTGCTTTCCATACTGCATGTTCTCTGAAAAATGCAGCAGAACTCCACCTTGGGATTCACTTAATCACCATTAGCACCCCAACTGTGAGGATCATCTTTTCTTTCCTACAGAGGTTAACCATTTGTTCGTTCATTTATTCATTCATTCAACAAGTGCTCATTAAGCATTTAAATGTGCAGAAATTGTGCTAAAAACTGGGATCTAAAAATAAATTAGACACAAAGTCTTTGTACTTGCCCTTAAAAAATATATAGTTTACTTAGAGATATATAAGTAAGTAAGTACAGTAAAATATAGGTTCTAAAATAGACCTACATACTGAAAAGGTTCCAAGAAGGTAAGGTTCAATGACAGAACTCAGTCGTCAGGAAAGACTCCTGAGAGAGATAACAAAGCTGAATCTCGAATAAAAATCTGGTACTTACCAGGGAGCAGAGAGGAAAGATTATAAGGATAAGAAAGAAAATGGTAATGAAGAGTGCCAAATGGGTAATCATGTGGGGTGATTATGAGCTATTCAGTTTAATTGAGGTAAACATGTAAGGAGTGTATTGAGTATATATGATGGGTGAGAAGGGAGAGGGCTGCCAGAGGTAAGCCTGAAGCAGTATGCAATGGCTCAATAACAAAAGACCTTGTATGTACACTAAAGAAAACACTCTCTCTATCTTATAAACAGTAGAATCCACTGAAATATTTTAAGCACAAAATCACAGGATCACAGGTTTCCATAATGTCTAACCAATTTATGCATTTGGCTTTCTTCAACAATGGTCAAACTAACATTTCTCATTTTATTATGTATCTGTTAAAGAACAAATACCACATTAGCCCACCTGTTTTTTATTCATATGTAAAATAATCTCCCAGAACAAGGGTCTCAGCCTCTAGGAAACTTATGAATCAAACAGCAATTCTACTACCTGAACAGTGGGGCAGAAACTAAGATTCACCAAGTTTTCAAAGGAAGCATCATCAACATTCTACTTAAAGAATCCACACATGTAATATGTACATATGTGTACACACACAATATTAAGTTCACACAATATTCTGACAGACTGCCAAGAGTTATGTCCACATAAAGTCACAAAAGCAAATATTTTTGCCAGACACATTTTGACATACCTCAATCAGTAGTACAAAATCATGTGAACTAGCTGCTTCAAAGGTGAAACAGTCCAGTCTCAAGTTGCATACATAAATGCCTCATGTAGCTTAACACAGCACTTACAAACAGGAACTCTGAGCAGAAGCTCTCAGGTCAGGTAGTTCAGGGTTGGCATCCTGGGTCAGCCACTGACATGTAAATTATTAAACTCTTTGAGTCTTAGTTTTTTACCTATTAACCTGGGATAATTATTCCTACCCCATATAACTTGTGAAGATACGAGATATAGAAAACACTTATCACAGAGTTGAGCAAAGATTAAACAGTAGTTTATTATTATAACTACAATATAAGTTATTCAAGTTATGATAAACTCAAATTTATTTACTAAATAACTTTGAATTGCATTATAACATTAAAGAAATTACCAAAATTCTGTCCAAATGCAAAAGTTTGAGGTAGGCTTAATGGGAAAGTAATAATAATACTGGGACAAATCATCTAAAAATAATGTTTTTAAGGAATAAAATTTTGAAAAATACATTGAGTTACACTTAGAGCACAGAAACGGAGAGCTCCACAGAGTCCTATAGAAATACTGAGAGCTTTTTGAAGGAAAAAAATATATACAATCAAACTTCTTTTTCTCCAAATACAGTGCCATATTATTTCTTTTTTTTTTTTAATCTCATGGCCTCTTACAAAACCATTTAAAAGAAATGGTAAGTCTGGTTATAATCATGTAACATCATGTATCTGTAGTGTAAGGATCCTCTCCCTATGGTTAGGCCTGTATTTTGACTTCAGTGAGCATTAGTCCCACTAGTCTTTGGCCTTGGGATTTGTTTTTGCACCAAAGGAACTATTAAAAGATAAAACAACAAAGAAGGTAGAACACTAGCAAAGCAAGACTGTAAAAGAAAATTTAGTTTGACAACCTGACAGTGGAGATGACTCAAGTGAAAACAACTAGAATAAAGAAGGCCAAAGCAATATGAGTAACTGTATTAAGTTACTTATACCCACACACCTATATGTGTGTGTATATACATATATGCATATACACACACATACATACAGTTTTTGTGATTAGGTAAGGTTGGGTCAACTCACAAATGTAATTAGTACAGTTAAATGAATGACAATTAGTAACTGTATTAAGTGATATTGATCTGACCCACAGATTGCTATGTAGATATATCACTAATTCTTGCAATAGTATTAAATGTATATAGTCATCCACTGTATCTCTGGTTAGCAAGTCTGTGGCAAGTATTAGCAATGGCCACCAACTGAAAGACCAAATAATCCATTTGGAAATGGAAGAGAATCTTTACATTGACACTGCAGTTATCTGGAAATGTCCTAAAATCAGTAATATATTTTTAAATAAGTGTGTAACATATGTGATTCTGCTCTAGCTAATAGTCATTCAAATAAAATCCATGAATTATGTTAGCTAGCATGTGTTATACGGAAATAATAATGGAGGTGAGAGAGAAGCTACTCAAACTACTTTTAGGTATATTCACAAACAGCATATTATTACTTCCATTCCTTTTCACTGTTGGGTTGACTTCTGTGTGATCCTTTAGACTTAAGCAATAGAGTATTAAGGTTCAACATCCAGTACTGTCTCACAAAACAAAGTTTAAACCTAACTGTTGTTCAAGAGCACTGAAATGTAAAATAATCCTACTAGCATGATTTTTTCTGTATGAAGATGATACTAACTCACCTTCAAAGGGGTGAACTTCAAGTTGTTTTCCCACAGTAGAGGAGGACTTGCTTATCTAGCCAACTCACTTGCCAAAGTTCCTGGTGAACAGCTTATATCTGCAAGATGAGTGTTACCAGTAGTCACAAAAAATAACAAAATGAAATAATCAATATAGAAAGGAAACATAAGCCTTGGTCCCAAACTACTACGTTCTGATGAATTAAAAATAAAGTCACAGAAATATGTAAATATTGTACAATACTAACATACAAAATTGTACATATTTACTCTTATACATTCATTGTATCCTATATATCACTAACATAAAAATAGTTCAAGCCTGACATCTATCCCTAAGATGTTCTCAGCTGTCTTAACCAAAACAAAGATTGCTTCTGACATGTAAAATCAGAAGTGTATAATGAAATGCTTAAAACATGAAAGCATGCTTTTATCCATCACCAGTAGCAATAACTAAGGAAATTTCAGAATATTTTTGTTAAAGTTAGCAATATTCTCAATAGCATTAATTGCAGTATGACTACAGCCAAAATTGCTTTGATATTTCCCAGAATTCTGGAAAAGACTTCCCCATTTTATGAAGAAAAAATACTTTCGTTATTAGCTACAGTGTTCATTCATGTTAACACAGACAGAGGTTTTATAATTAAAAATTCCTGATAGGGAACTTTATCAGTTGCCAGTTGAATCTCCTTCACAAGAGCTGAGAAGCTGGTTGGTTAAACATTACTTGAAGACATAGTTTTTAAGTATAAGTAAAAGCAATATTACATGTTTCTTTATTACTTAAGGGAGTATAAAATTAGATTAACATCTGTTAAAAATCAGTAAGAGGCACATTAGATATAATTCAAACAAAATCACAATGTTAAGTACCTCTGATAAGCAAGATACTCAGTATTTGGGGGTCCTGGGAACAAGCATAAAAATAAAAAGGCATAGCAGATGATGACAAAGAAATCACAAAATCAGTATTACTGACATTTTCCTTTCAGTTCTACATAGTTTTTTGCAATAATAAACAGCTAAATTCTAACCCAGGTCCTCTGCTAAAACAAGAAGGATCAAGTGGAAAAGCACAGCTTCATACCAGACATGGAAGCTGCCACAGGGTAAGGTTCTGGTGCTCCTCTTGCACATGAAGACAAGGAAGTTTCAATAGAATGTTGAGAACCTTGATGTACGTCCATTTCTGCCTGTAAACAAGTAAACTATTAATATTAAGGCACCAAACATTTCCACCACAATTTTTTTTTGGTATCATTAATCTACTATTACATGAAGAACATTATGTTTACTAGGCTCCCCCCTTCACCAAGTCCCCCCCACATACCCCTTCACAGTCACTGTCCATCTGCGTAGTAAGATGCTGTAAAATCACTACTTTTCTTCTCTGTGTTGCACAGCCCTCCCCATGCCCCCCCCACACTATACTTGCTAATCATAATGCCCCCTTTCTTTTTACCCACGCTTATCCCTCCCTTCCCACCCATCCTTCCCAGTGCCTTTCCCTTTGGTAACTGATAGTCCATTCTTGGGTTCTGTGATTCTGCTGCTGTTTTGTTCCTTCAGTTTTTCTTTGTTCTTATACTCCACATATGAGTGAAATCATTTGGTACTTGTCTTTCTCCACCTGGCTTATTTCACTGAGCATAATACCCTCCAGCTCCATCCATGTTGTTGCAAATGGCAGGATCAGTTTTTTTCTTATGGCTGAGTAATATTCCATTGTGTATATGTACCACATCTTCTTTATCCATTCTTATACTGATGGACATTTAGGTTGCTTCCATATCTTGGCTATTGTAAATAGTGCAGTGATAAACATAGGGGTGAATCTGTCTTTTTCAAACTGGAGTGCTGCATTCTTAGGGTAAATTCCTAGAAGTGGAATTCCTAGGTCAAATGGTATTTCTATTTTGAGCATTTTGAGGAACCTCCATACTGCTTTCCACAATGGTTGAACTAATTTACATTCCCACCAGCAGTGTAGGAGGGTTACCCTTTCTCCACAACCTTGCCAACATTTCTTGTTTGTCTTTTCGATGATGGGATCCTTACTCACAATTCCATTTTAGTGGGTTATTCTCCTCAACAACTCTTCCTTATATTCCTTACCATCATCCCCCACAAACTCACCAAAACTGGGAGTCCTCCACTAGGCTGCAAACTCCCAAGTTTCTCTTCATTTTGGTTTCCCATTTCCACAGTGCCCAGAGAGAAGAGCACACTACAAACTGAAAATGCTTAATAAATGTTTGATAAGTTGAACTGCATTAGTCATCTTACTCTCTCACCTGCCACTCCAAAATTTATCACTTATTCTAGCTCCAGCCAACATTCCTGGCAGACATTATTAGATGAAAAAAAAAGATTTATTCATTCAGAAATGTTTTGTTCAAACACTTCCTAGGTACCATGCGAAGTGCCATGGATGCAAGGGAAAATACATGATCCCTGGCTTTAAATAACTCAGTCTAGTAAGAAAGATAAAGCTGGAAATTAGCCACTGTAGCAACCTGTAATCAGTTTGTAAAAAGAGCTACAGATACTAAAAGAAAGGGAAAACTGGCTTAGAATAAAGGCTTCAGAGAGGAAATAAAGGCTTTAGAAAGTCATGTGAGATGACTACTAAAGAATGAGTAGCTGCCAGACCAAAGGACAAATAAAGGACATTTTTAGTAAGGAAGTGATGAAAAATTATAGAGGTGCAAAAGGGTACACAATATTCTGAGAACTTCAACAAGCTTTGGGGAAAGTAGCACATGAGGAAAAAAAAGGCAAGAGAAAGATCACAGAGTTGCCTTATTATGCTAAAAGCTGAACCTCTGTCCTGACCAAAGGAGGTAAGCCAGGAGAGTGACATAATCAGTAAAAAAAATCTTGGCAGCAGTGTCAAAGATAGGAGGAAGGACAAGACTAAAGGCAAAGGAACAAATCACATGAGACAAAGCTACTAGCTTGATCTAATGGTTTATGGAATTACGGTTACCCAGTCCATCACCAATGACCATTAAGTGTTACCCAATGGGTCTCAAATTCAGATATAGATAGATAGATAGGCAGACACTATATATATATTCAGATTTATACATGCACATAATTTATATGTGCATATAATTATACCAATGACTTGATAAACTGAAAGTTTCAAATCTATTGTCTTGGAAAAAATTTACTACTGTTACGGGATCTGTGTCCCCCCAAAGGATGCTGAAGTCCTAATCCTTAGTACCTGTGAAGGTGACTTTATTTGGAAATAGGTTCTTTGCAGATAATCAAGTTAAGATGAGGTCTTTAGGGTGGTGTTTAATCCAATTATGACTAGTGTTCTTACAAATAGGGTAAATTTGGACACAGAGACAGAATCACAGGGAGGATACCACATGAAAATGAAGGCAAAGATCAGGGTGGTGCATCTACAAGCCAAGGAACACCAAAGATTGCCAGAAAACCCACCAGAAGCAAGGAGAGAGTTATAGAAGAGATTAATTCCCTAACTGCCCTGGGAAGGAACCAAGCTCGCCAACACCTTGATCTTGGCCTTCTAGCCTCCAGATCTAGGAGACAATAAATGTCTGTTACTCAAGCTACCCCATTTGTAGTACTTTACTAGAGCAGCCCTAGCAAAATAATACACTCTCTAAGAGAAATCATGATTTTTTTCCCCTGAAAATCACTAATGGCAAAAGCTTTCTGAAGAAAGATTGCAAATCAGAAATAAAAAAATTTCTTGGTATTCATTTTTCAATCTGGTTGCAAAGGTGCTATTTAATAGCTAAGCCAACCTAGTGCCAGAAAACTCTAGGATATGATTCACCTTTCATCCTATACAGTATCATTTATACAAATGATATTACATGATCAAACATTGGAAAATATGATCCTAAAGAACCTGGGACATGAAAATAACAGGAAATTATATCAATTTTTCCTTTATTTTGTAAGGGTGTTGCTTCATGCATTTTTTTTATGTACCTGTGAGAATATGATGTGACCCATAATAAAATCAAAAGGTAATATAATGAGTTATTTGATAAGAAGCAATGAAATCAGCTTAGATCAGTAATGGCCTCTGGAGTGACACATACTTCCATCCAAATCTCACCCTGTTACTAGTCAGCTATAGACTTGAGCAAATTACTTAAACATGTTGGAACCTAAAATTATTCATCAGTAGAACAAGAATTTTACATTTTAAATAAATGACTACAGAATATATGAAATATGCTTAGCATATGATAACAGAGTTTTGCTATTTACATGAGAAGAAAAATTCATAAATTAAGGGTTTTTTGCACTTCTCTTGGGTAGGACAAATAGGCAGGTTTACATAAGAACTAAAGTCTTGATCATACATACTGTCTATAAAAATATTGCCTTTGGCTAGTTCCTTACTATAAAATGCAGGACTTTCCAGAGTTTTAAAACCACCAAAACTCAAAACACACTTAAATTTATTAATGTTGGAAGTGAAATACAAATAGGATCTTGGTGGCTTTTGTCTCTGTCATAGACATCAACTAGTATGCAGCTTTCAAAGCTCTACAACACCATCCCCTTACACCTTCAGATCACTAAGTGCTAGCCAGTCCAAAACAACTCAGACTGACATTAGGTTAACTCTAACAGAATTGCATAATTCACTGTAACCTTCTATCAGGTATTACTGATATGTTTTCTGCCTCTTTTTAAATGTAAATCTTAGAAAATACCTCAAAAATGTAACTAATTACATTTTTACATTATGGGACTTACTTTGGAATTTGTACACTTGTTTTGAAAAATGTGAAAATAATGCAAAACTCAATTACCAAAATTTAAAAGGACTTTATTTTATCAAGCAAACACTCTACCCAAGATACAAATTATTCTTCCCTTCCTAATTGCAATACTTACAAACTGAAACTTGTATCTACACCTACATATAAAAAAATAGAAGAAGCTACATAATTAAGTCCAAAAAGACTTCAATTACTACAAAGAGAATGGTGATATTTTTGTTAACCTTTTTATGTGAAATAGCTATCTACATTGGTCAAATTTGTTGGAAAATGTATCAGCAACCCACTTCTCTTTGTGAGAGAGCCAAGTAGTAATTATTCTTGGCATCTTTTAATAAATTTGATGAACTATAAAAACATGTTCAGTCTTACAATAAACCCGATATTAGCATCAAAGCTAATATGGTGTCAACACCAATGTAGGTATCTTTCTAAATAATACGAAAACATGGTATGACTTCAGATGTTTAGTATAGTTCCTCACTTTAGCTCAGAATTTGCTAATTGAGTTTTCAAAAAAATGAATGTGCTTCTTGCTAAATAAGTAATTTAAAGGCCACTTTTCAGAAAACATTGCTATGTAATTATTATTACAGAGAGATAATTAGATTGGCATACTTGAACAAAATACTTTTAGACTATTAAAAAATTCTTAGATCTTACATTGATTTTAAAATTTGATTTAGTTAGCAAATGCCATATCCTATTTATTCAAGATACTATATAAGAATAATATTTCATTTTGGTTGACCTCAAATTATACTTCTAAGAATTTTCTTCAAAAGGTAACAAACAGCAACAGAAAACTAAATACATTTTCTTTTTCTCTTAAAGACTTAAATATAGTAATATTAATAAGAGAACACAAATACATTAAGAAAATATAATCTGTTAAATTACTGGCAAAAGACTGTACCCATTATTATCACCCCGAGGGCAGAGACTATGCCTTCATCTACCTCATATTCCTTAAGCATGACAAGAACTCAATAAATAGAAGTGTTAACGATCTATACCTCAAGAACAATAAATACAAGAATAACCTAATTCTCCCAAGAATCAAATAATGGAAAAACCCTATAGAGCTGAGAACTCAAAACAGGCCATGAACAATATTTTACAACATGCAAATCTAACATTAGTAGAAGGAAAATTCTACCCCTTATACTTATCCACAAATTCTGAGGTCACAGTAGAAATTGTGCAATGGCATGTCAGGAGGAAATATATGCCAATGCTAGTTTTGAAATAATCACAACTTTAAGTGAAGTCATTAAGAACTGAGTAGAAATGTGCAGATATTCAAATACCTATGATCCTCAGACTGTATATGGGGGAAATTTTTTCTTTTTACATATTCTGTTGTTTCTATAAACACAGTATCACCTTTCTACAGAGAGTTATTACAACTA